AAACAGTTTGAGATGTTTTCGAGGATCGATTATTTACTATTACTTTACTACTTGTGCGTACGAGAGACAACGATAACAAAAAAAATATTTAAAAAAATTTGTTTATTTGTTAAATTTTTATGTGAAAAGAAAATAACTGTTTGTACTATTGTTGCTGTTGTAATTTGTACTTATTGCGACTAATCGATAGTTGTTTCCTATAATTCTTGTTTTCATCATTATTTCGTTTTCTTTTTTTTGTTGTTGTTGTTGTGAGACAACTCCGCCCTTCGCACTCACCACGCCTTCAATTAATAATATTGCTAAGCAACGTATGCTCCTCCCATAAATAAATGAAATTCGCACGGGAGTTTCCTAGGTGATGTATAGCGAAACGGAGGTGGGGCGTTTCCTTTTTTTTTGTTGTTGTTTTGAAACAAGCGAATTTTTGTAAAACGCCCGAAGAATGACGACGATGATCGATGTTCGTTCGTCGTTTCAATTTTCGGGGAGCGTGCGTGTCATCTCCATGGCGACAAACGCAAACAGTTTGAGATGTTTTCGAGGATCGATTATTTACTACTACTTTGTGCGTACGAGAGACAACGATAACAAAAAAAAATATTTAAAAAAATTTGTTTATTTGTTAAATTTTTATGTGAAAAGAAAAGAACTGTTTGTACTATTGTTGCTGTTGTAATTTGTACTTATTGCGACTAATCGATAGTTGTTTCCTATATTTCTTGTTTTCATCATTATTTCGTTTTCTTTTTTTTGTTGTTGTTGTTGTGAGACAACTCCGCCCTTCGCACTCACCACGCCTTCAATTAATAATATTGCTAAGCAACGTATGCTCCTCCCATAAATAAATGAAATTCGCACGGGAGTTTCCTTGGTGATGTATAGCGAAACGGAGGTGGGGCGTTTCCTTTTTTTTTGTTGTTGTTTTGAAACAAGCGAATTTTTGTAAAACGCCCGAAGAGTGACGACGATGATCGATGTTCGTTCGTCGTTTCAATTTTCAGGGAGCGTGCGTGTCATCTCCATGGCGACAAACGCAAACAGTTTGAGATGTTTTCGAGGATCGATTATTTACTACAACTTGTGCGTACGAGAGACAACGATAACAAAAAAAAAATATTTAAAAAAATTTGTTTATTTGTTAAATTTTTATGTGAAAAGAAAAGAATTTGTACTTATTGCGACTAATTGATAGTTGTTTCCTATAATTCTTGTTTTCATCATTATTTCGTTTTGTTTTTTTGGAATGAATTAATAAAAAGCAACCAACGACTTTTAAACTTGACTTGATACGTTCGTCCGTTATCGAGATCAACACGCAGCACGTGCTCTCTTCTTCATTCCATCCCATTCATCTTCCTTCTCCTCTTTCCTTCGATTAGTTTAGTCTAGTTGTAATGATTTTCGTGACGATTGATTGATTTGGAACGACATGCGGAGAAGAGTACGAGACCGAGAGATCCCTATCTGCTGCATTGTTGAAAACATATCGTGACCTGTGGACTTTGGCCGTTTTCACTTCCACGCTCTGTGCGGACGATAAGACGTTTTCCCTCCATCTATTTGTTTGAGCGCGAGAAGAGCGCAACAACCACCCGCAGTCGCGTCGTTTATTTGTTTTTGTTGTTGTTGTTTATTTTCGCATTTGTTTCGCGATGGTCGCCATGAACACGACCTCGGTGATTCTGCGGAGCATCTTCACCATCCTCAACATCACCGCAGAACAGGAGGAGTCCTCTTACAACTATTACTACATCAACATTGGAAAAAGTGCGTACAATAGTAATAATAGTAGCAGAGGATTGAAATTAACAATTTTTTGTTTGCAGCCACCAATGCAACAAGGTGTTACGGGATCTACGGGTGCTTCGAGCTGTCGCCGCCTTGGACGAGCGAGCATCGGCCGGTCTCGCTCTTCCCCGAGCATATCTCCAAGGTAACCGATGTTTATTTACACCCCTAGCAACAAATAAATCATGAACGAATCGACAGGTGGAGCCGAAGCTGATGTACTACACGCGTGAGAATCCTGAGGTCGGGGTGAAGTTCGATCTGGACTCGCACGACGTCATCTACGCGTCGGGTATCAACCCGAAGATCTTCACGTACCTCGTCAGCCACGGTTACGTGGAGGGAGGTGGCGCTTCGTGGGTAACATTTTGTTAATAATACTTATTGATGATGATAGTAATTAATAATTATTTCAGATACGCAAGATGACGGCGGAGCTGCTCAAGAACAGGGAATGCAACGTGATCACGGTGGATTGGCAGGGCGGATCGAGTCCGCCCTATTCGCAGGCGGTCGCGAACATCCGATTGGTCGGCGCGATCACCGCCCATTTCCTCTACGAGTTCGCCCAATACACGGACGATCTGCAGCTGGACCACGTCCACTGCATAGGCCACTCCCTCGGCGCCCACATGAGCGGTTACGTCGGTTACACCCTGCAAAAGGTGACAATTGCTTTACAATAATGAAATAAATGAACTAATTGTAAATTTCAGGTGTTCAATTTAACGCTGGGGCGGATCACCGGGATGGATCCGGCGGAGCCGCACTTTGCGCACGCCCAACGACCGGTGCGTCTGGACAGATCGGCTGCGAAATTCGTGGACATCATCCACACGGATGCCACCCAGTTCATCCGCGGTGGATTGGGGATGACCGAAGCCATCGGACACGTGGATTTCTATCCGAACGGCGGTAACGATCAGCCCGGATGCAGCAAGAGCGTCCTCCAGTACGCCGTCGAATTCGGCGGTTTGGTCAATGGAATCAAGAAGTTCGTGTCCTGCAATCACGTCCGAAGCCATCTGTTGATGGCCGAGAGCATCAACACCAAGTGCTCTTTCGTTTCCATCTCCTGCAAATCGTACGATGTATGTATCTAATCTTAATCTTAAACTAATTCATCTTGATTTCTATACGTTGTACATTGTAGGATTTCAAGGAAGGTCGATGTTTCGAGTGCAATCGCAATGGACAGCAATGCCTGAAGATGGGCTTCAACAGTCAGAAGCATTACGAAGCAGCGGTGAGAGCGAAACGCGTTGATCCCAACAACGGTTTGATTCTCTACTCGATGACCGGATCCTCCAGCCCGTTCTGCAGTAAATCTCTTGTAAATCTCACAAGGCCGATTGATTTGTTTTTTTGTTTTGTAGAGGCTCATTATAAAATCTCCGTCTTGGTGTCCGACGGAACGGAGAGTCGCGGTCACGGCGGAGAGATCGGTCAGCTGTGGTTCGTCTTCCACGACACGACCGACGGACGCGGCGAGAAGACCGAAAGGGCCGCCCTGAATCCGGGTGGATATCACGAACCAGGCGCCCTTTACACGGCCGTCGTCCCCGCCGACTTCATCCACTCGATCCGGGGCGTCGAAGTCGAATGGGATTACCATAGCAACGTCTTCAATCCTCTGACGTGGCGCATCCTCGCCAGCCCTCGCGTCTACATATCCAAAATCAAAATCGAAGCCTTGGAAACGGCAAACAGGTTAGTACTATACATTGTTACCATGGTGATATTGGCGCTACTTAACGATTTACTTGCACTAGATAGAGTTTATCGGACGTGATTTGTTGAGTAATTTAGCATAGCGTTTGTTTCTGAAGTCATTATTATTCTATAGTCTAATCTATATTATTTCATTAGAAACGTGTCAAAAACAAAATTCTACAATCGAGCGGTTTTAATCAATTGTTTTTCTATAGAATCATAGGAAACGCAATTCGATATAATTTTCAGATTTTCTCTCATAAAATTTGCATCGACGCAGGAAACCTTATCATAATGTAAATTATCAGTTGAATTTTGTTTAGATTTCTTAATTTATTGATGAATCGATTATAAACATTTAATGTCGAACAGAAAATAATTGATAAAGAAACTGTACTTCTTTTATTGCCGATAACTATTATCATTATTATTATTAAGAACTTGCGTAACTTTGATCAAACGTGCGTAGGCAGCCTAATTTCAATTGTCATGATGCATCCAAATTACGTTCACATGACGACGTGTCA